TGGCAACATTGTAAGGAATAAAGCAAGGATGGTAGCTAAAGGGTATTGCCAAGAAGAGGGAATAGATTTTGATGAGACCTTTACACCAGTTGCCAGACTTGAAGCCATCAGAATTTTTCTAGCCTATGCTGCTTACAACAACATCAAGGTCTACCAGATGGATGTCAAGAGTGCATTTCTGAATGGAGATCTTGAAGAAGAAGTCTATGTGGAACAACCACCAAGTTTTGTCAATCCTACTCAATCCTCTTGTGTCTACAAGCTTAAAAAGGCCCTATTTGGTCTTAAGCAAGCTCCCAGAGCATGGTATGACACATTGTCCCTTTTCCTAGTGAACCATGGGTTTACTAAAGGAAAGGTTGACAAAACTCTATTTCAAATCTCTGTTGCTAATCATATTCTGTTAGTACAAATATATGTTGATGATATTATATTTGGTAGTACTAATCCAGAATTGTGCAAGAAATTCTCACAAGTGATGCAGAGTCAATTTGAAATGAGTATGATGGGAGAACTCAGTTACTTCCTAGGCCTACAGGTCAAACAAGTCCCGGAAGGAATCTTTATCAATCAAAGGAAGTATACCAGAGACCTGATCAAGAAGTTTGGAGTGGAAGGCAAGTCCTCAGTGAAGATTCCCATGAATACCTCACAAGGAATTGGTCCAGATGATGAAGGAAAGGATGTCGATGCAACAACATACAGAGGAATCATAGGATCTCTGCTGTATCTAACTGCAAGCAGACCAGATATCTCATTCTCTGTTGGAATCTGTGCCAGATACCAATCAAAGCCCAAGGAGAGCCATCTTAGCGCTGCAAAGAGAATCATCAGATATATCAAGGGAAATCCAAATGCAGGCCTATGGTATCCAAAAGGAGGTAACTTTGAACTAATTGGTTACTCTGACTCAGATTTTGCAGGTTGCAGATTAGACAGGAAAAGCACCTCAGGTCATTGCCAAATGCTAGGAGGAAGGCTTGTGTCCTGGTTTAGCAAGAAGCAGAATTCAATCTCAACAAGTACAGCAGAAGCTGAGTACATTGCAGCTGGGAGTTGCTGTGCTCAGTTACTCTGGATGAAGCAACAGCTGAAGGATTATGGCATTCAAGCAAAGGAGATCAAACTGCTCTGTGACAACACTAGTGCCATTGCAATCACTCAGAACCCAGTGCTTCATTCCAGGACAAAGCACATTGAGATCAGACATCATTTCATCAGAGATCATGTGGAAAAGAAGCATATTTGTATGGAGCATGTACCTACAGAAGATCAGCTAGCGGATATCTTAACCAAGCCTTTACCTGAGGCAAGGTTCAACAAACTAAGAGAAGAACTGGGGATGATGGATGATCATCCTAGAGATGCGTGAGGACCAGAACTGTTTTCTGGATCAGATAACCCTACACCAGAATACCTCTTTTCTGATCACCAGAGCACCTCTCATCAGAGAACCTCCTTCTCTGATACAGGGATCCTTTCTGTAATCCTTCAAAGATCCTTGTGGACTTATGTTTTTTTTTTGAACGGGCAAGACCTTTAACTTGAACAGGTCTTTTACCTGAATACCCCTGAATTAATTATGTCGTTAACGGAAATGTTTTCCGCCCGCATTTCTTTAAATGATACCTCGAAACCATAAATTATCCCAAACGTCCTCTAATCCTAAACCATTTATATTCATCTCCTTCAACCTAAACCGCTACTGTCTTTTCTCTCTCTAAATGTACTAGCTTCAAAAATCCCCCAGTACTCAGAAACTCTCAGAAATTCTTCTGAAAATGAACTTAATCAACATCAACGATCTCACCAAAGAGGAAGCCAAGACCATTGTGGCCAATGTAGTTACCGGGATGAAGGTTGACCTATCTGCACTACCCCTTCTAGAGGAGAATCAGAAAAGGATGGCGAAAATCATCCAAGGGATGAATGAATCCCAGCTGAGCAAGATTGTTGCTCATCCCTATGAAGAGTTCAGCACCAGGGATGTGGCTGAGTTCTATCTGAACGCCACCATTACCAAAAACAGAGTACACTCCAAGGTGCAGGGAAAGAACATCTCCCTAAATGCCGATGCTCTGAATGAATTCTTTGGAGTTCAACTGGACTCTCAAGACCCTGAGACTCCCACTCTCATTGACCTAGAGTAAGTGGAGGTCTCAGTAGAAGCATTTGCCCAGACCTACTGCCGCCCTGAGGCCTCCAATCTGGACAGACTCTACATGAAGAAGTTCCTACTGAAGAAGGACTTCGAAAAGCTGGTTGTTATTCTGCACAGGAGCTTGTGGTGCAAAACTGGCTCGACTGATGAAATCAACAAGGCCAACTGCAAAGCTATCTTTGCTGTTCATCATGGGATGAACATCAACTGGGGTGAGGTAATCTTTGGTTCTCTGACTGAATTTATCAAGAAGAAGGATCAGAAAACTGGCCTCTACTTAACAAAGATGGGCCATGGCCTCCTTCTGTCTACCATTCTCACTGCCCATGGAGTTCAACTCAGGGACCCTTCCCCAGTTGATCACTCCAAAACCCTGTTCCTAACTGCTTCTCCCAAACTCAACATAGCCATCTTTGCTGAACTGAAGAGAGAAGAAAGGCTGGAGAAGAAAAGGGAACAACAGGCTGTCAAACTGAAACCTGCTACCAAGAAGAACATCAAGAAGCCTACTGTGACTTCTGAACAACCTGAGCAATCCCAGATTGCAAGGGATGTAAGAAAGAAAAAGAAAAATGATAGATGCACTCCATCAGAAATGGATGCACCAGAAATGGGTGCATCAGAGTTGGCTCCCTCAAAATCTGTCAGAAACTCTCCTGCAAAGAAGCAGAAGTTGAAAAGGAGGAGAAAGCAAGTTGTTCAGAGTGAGGACTCTGACAACTCTGGTCTGAAACCTGTGAAGAAAAAGAAGAAGAAAACAAGCTCACCTGCAAGGGAATCAGAAACTCAAGGGGAACCTGAACCTGTTGCTCAACCCTCCTCTGCACCAGACCTGAAATTCACTGCAGATTTATCAGAACCCCAACACATCTCTGACGGAGTACCAGAGACTGATTACAACACCATTCTGCAGAAGCAGTTTGAAAGGGTTCTGACTTGGAGAAGATGGAGAATGGGACCCCTTCAGAAGATCATACAATATTTTGACTGTTATGAAGCAGAGGAAGCTACTGTCTTGCACTGGGTAGGCACAGAAGATGTGTCTCAATGCTTCAACCTTGCCTTTCTCGTCTCTGTCCTACAGAAGAAGAAAGAAAAACACCAAGGTAAAGCTCCTATGATTGCCCTATCTCCTGAAAGGCATGTCAAAGCTCTGGAGGAGGATGAGATGGAAGAGTTTGATGCTTGGCTAATGGAGAAGAAGAGAAAGGAATCTCTCATCAAGTTTCGCCACAGTGCCCATGAGGAAGGAGAACCCTCCACAACCAATGATGTTGCTCTGACCATGGAAAAGCTGGTCAAGGAATGGAGAGAATCCCTGTTCTCAGAGATTGTTCTTGAGGTAATTCCTACACCTCCTCCTTCCCCTCCCAAATCTCCTGTTACTCAACCATCACCTCCCAAATCACTTTCAAAACCTTCAACCCCATCTCCTCAGAAAACCTCCTCGCCTCCACCATCTCCCACAAGAATTCCGTCACCTCAGAAGACCAAATCTAAGTCTTCATCACCCTGCAAGCAACCCTCCCCTCCTAAAAACCGGTCACCCTCACCACCACCCTCCCCCAAACCTCTAAAATCTGTCACACCCCAGAACCCCACTCCTCATAACTCTCACCTTCAGAACTCCCCCCATCAGAAAACCCCCTCTCATCAGAGTTCACCTCCACAACAGCAACCCCTTTCAATCACCAGAGCTGCTACACCCCCACTGTCTCCTCAGCTCTCTGTAGCTCTCTGTTGAACCCAATCTTTTAAGCCCCACAGATGGACTTCAACAAATTTGTGCAGTCTGCAGAAGAATTTGGTGGTCAGATGCTAGACAATATGAACAAGCTCATACTCATCAATGACAAACACTATGAGCATCTGACACACACCAACATCCATCTGAATCAGGGCCTTCAGCAACTATCAGAGAAGCTTGACACTCTGACAGAGTCCCTGCACACCTTCATGAGCTCATCCAACCAGAAGATTGACACCATCTCCAGAGAAGTAGATGGAATTAACTCTGTCCTCTACTCCCACTCTCACTCTCTGAATGGTCAGAATAAGAAACTAAAGGAGATAGCTGAAGCCATTGACATTTTGCAATGGAATGCTGATTAATCTTCAGAACGCTTCATGGAGATAGGTATTATGTGTACAGAACACAAAGCAAGGGCCTTAGATATTCTTCACAATGACAAGGAGCGTTACCAGAAGTTGGTACTTCTTGAAGCCAGTACACAGAGCATCCAATCTACCATGGAAAGGCAACAGAGCCTGATTGAAGGTCTGGCTTCTGTTACTCAAACTCTGCCAGAAGCTCTGGATGAGATCAGAGATGCCCAAGCATCAGAATTCTCGAAGATTGAGCTCCTCCTTGGCGATCTTGTTGATGCCAAAAAGGGGGAAGACACCAGAGAAGAAGAAGGTCCAAGCTCCAGAACCTTATCCATCAGAGGACCCTCATCTTCTGTTGATCCTGCGCCTTATTTCGAAGCTGCAAAGAAGAAAAAGCAAGCTACTGCAGGCACCAGACCTCCTCCTCCACCTCCCAGAAGTTCCAAGAAGAAGTCTTCCAACTTTACCTTCAATGAATGGTTGAAGAGTGGGATGTCTAAGCCTGACAGAGCCCAATTCACACAGATGAAGAAGCTGATGACTCCACTGCAACAAGAGAATTTGTTTATGGACAATGATGGACTCGTCCAAATCAATCATGGTGGATCAATTCAAGAAGCTGAGAACTGGTGGCAGATGAGAGTTCTATCTGACAAGAACATCTCACAAGCAATCAGAAATTACTTAGATTGCAAGCTTGCACCTCATTGGGCAGACTATCCGAATCCGAGGGACTTAGCCTCCATCAGAACAAAGGTCAATGCAGAGCTTGAAAGGATTGACAAAGCAGGACCTCAGGTAGATGGAGATGAATCCTAAATTTTATCTATCTCTGATTATGTAATTAACTATCTGATAATAAGATTTCATCTCTGCCTCTAGTTTGCATGGCATCTTAAATTATCTGTTCTTATTTACTTTCTGTGAATTCTTTGTGCTTGCTCTAGTTCTTTCTGTCCTTTAATTGCTATCTGATTGTACTTTACTCTCACTATTTTCCTATGCCAAGTTGCCCTCCAAGATTTTAATGAAAGTTTTTAAACTTTAATTCTTTATGGTGAAGGCACTTCTCTGGAAATAGTTAAAGGGTTTTGGCATCATCAAAAAGGGGGAAATTGTAAGGAATATATGTAATTAGATTTTGATGATGCTAGGTTGATTAGCATTTGAAAGTACCCCAATAGAAATTTTGTATTAGAATTTGTCTTTGTAAGTTCTAGAATAGTCGACTGTCAGAAACCCTCTTGATCCTTCTTATCAGAATTCCTACCAGAGATGCTCTCAGAGTTGCTCTCCAGAGAAGTCATCAGAATTGGATACTAGAATTGGCATCAGAATCTGCCAACAGAGTTCTGATCAGAAAACCTCATCAGACAAGCTCGCGCCTTGCAGAACTCTAAGACACTTAACAACGGTCGTTAAACTAACGGGAAATCCCCTAACGGCTACGAACCTTTCAACGGAAACATGGTACTGTACATGCATTAAATGCTCAATTAATGTTGTACGTACGAAGATATATTTAAAGCTGATGATTGACCATGCGAGTATCTTCGCGCCCCCAAAATAGCAAGTCGAAGGTCCAACCGGTCAAGTCAACAGTACAAGCATTTAATGAAGCTGTCTTCTACACTCCAACGGGAAGACTGCTCCCAGTATATAAGATACACTCTGAAGAACTACGAGGATAACTTTGCTACTACAATTACCTTACGAACTTGCTCAGATTACTCTACTCTAATACCTCCAATCTTTCTTGAGATAAAAAGACTTACTCACCTCAACAAGAAAAGCTCAAGTTGGAAGATATACTGTCATATTCCTCATCCAACTAGCAAGTTGCAAAGTTCCTCAGTTCTTCAACACTTCGAAAACCTCATCTACACATCCTTTGTAAAGAAGCAACGTTGGAGAAAACTGATCTTGATTCAAACACTTCTTGAAAAAGAAGGGACGTCTCAAACTAACTGGAGTAAAGTGAAGTGGTGATACTTCCTAGAGACTCAGTGAAACGAGACCAGCCATCAGGAAGCAGGACTGCATCCCGGGTGGCAACTAGGCTTGAAGAAGACGTGGAGAGCTTCTTAAGCTCTAGGGACTAAGGCGTTGTAAACTGTTGTTTTTGCAAGCTTAGTGAAACAGTGGACTAGAGGAACAAGTTGTTCCTTGAACCACTATAAAAATCCCCGGTGTCATTTACTTACTTACTTTATTTCTGCACTTAAGAACTTAACTGCTTGACTCAAAAGGTTGGACTCTGTGTTCAGCAGATCTTCCTTAAGAGTTATCAGAAAGGCATTTGCCTTAGTGTTGTCTGAGGCTACCCGGATAGAACCTAATCCGCTGCCAGGTCCAGTTCTGCCATCAGAACTCGACCTTCTCTGTCACCAGATTTCGACCATCTCTGATAAGTCAGTTTTGACTTAGAGAAAAGTTTAAATTCCTGAACAGTCTATTCACCCCCCCCCCCTCTAGACTGTTCCCATTACAAACGGGACCAACACCGACTCTAGAGAGCGGGGTTGGATAGCATGGATTTGCATCGTGATCACGGGTTAGGGTGGAATCCGAATCGGAGACCTAACTAGGCTCCGGTAGCGGTAACACATTAGATAGGACCCCGAAGGGACTTACCTTCCTACGAGATGAAGGGTATGAGTCCAGGGGCGGGATGTTAAAATCCGAACTGAGAGCCTCATGAGGTCTCCGACAGCGGTAGCAAATCCCGTAGAAATAATAAGAACCACGGGTTGGGTTGTACAATTGATAAATGCAAGGAAATATATAAGAAGGGCCGTGTGCCGACAAACAAATGAATTTACTTATTATAGAGATAATAAGTGTGAAATATAAATAAATATTTATATTATGATATCACCCTATAAATAAATATTTATACCCGATTTTATATCTTTTAAATTTAAATAATAAAGGGCAGAGTTTGTTGCCACCAACAACGAACTCAGGGGCGGAGCCTGAACACTGGGCCAAACTGGATCAGTACAAAAAAAATATTTGAAAAAAAATTACAAGAAATTTTTTACATTAAAAATATAGATATTTTTAAAATTTGAACTGGGTCGGCGTCAGGGTTGACCCCTCCCTAACTACTCCCTTGAACGAACTGATTTGTTTATGCAGGTGAACTAGGGGCACTTAATGCGATTAATTGATTAGGGGTAGAAATTAAATGATTAGTCCTATTAGGGAATCCTAAACAAATGATCCTGTTTTTAGTAGAAGTTTTAGTTTTAGTCATACTTTGCTCCATTCTCTCTTTTAAATACTTTATATGGTCAGGTTTTAGAGTTGAAATTAGAGAAAAGTGGCAAATAAGCCCATGTATTAACCAAAAAAAGGTCAAATAAGTTCTTATATGGAAGGCTATGTCCGGCCGTCGTCAAATGGGGCGATTCCCGGTGGAAATTTTTTATGTACTTTTTTGAGCATATTATTCATTAAGTCTAGTTTACTCATATCAAATTTCAGCTAAAACATCAATCGGGAAGGCATTCAAATGAATTCTTGAAGATAACTGTGCAGTTAAAAGCGTAGTTATCTTCAAGAATTTATTTGAATGTCTTCCCAATTGAATTGTTATCATGGCTGAAGCACAAAGGGAATTAGGGTTTCAATACCAGGTCGGCCCATCTTAATAGCCCATCATAGCTTAGCAGCAGCGCTGCATCGCTGGGCAGGAAACCCTCCATCATACAAGCTGTTCCAGTGCAAGGCTGACAAGCGCTGTTTCGATTTCTTATGTTTATTATTTTATTTGATCAAGTTCTATATTTTAGAATTAAAAAATAAAAGTAGTAGTTCATCTCATCTTCTTTTGTTTATTATTTAAATAAAATATAAAAGGAAATAAAAGATAGAAAAGAAATAATAAAATATTACTACTTATAAATTAAAACTTCTAACATCTTTTCAATCACTAAAAACAGATTCACTTCTCACAAAAAATTTATAGTTGATTATCATTTAAAATATCACGTAAATGAATGTATATACTAAATTTATGAAATGTATGAAATGTGTAAAAGTTAAAATGATATATGCTAAATCTGTACTTTCATTTCTAAACTATTTATATACTAAAGATAAAGAGTGAATAAAATACAAAGTGTTCGGTTTGTATTCGGTTTTCGGTTCGGTTTACGGTTTGGTGTTCGGTTCGGTTTACGGTTTTTCGTTTTTTAAACCAAACCAAATCAAACCATTTAGTTTGAGAAAATTTCTACCAATTGGTTTACTAAAGTAAACCCAAACCAAACCAAACCAAACCAAACCACAAATTTTCGGTTCAGTTCGGTTCAGTTCGGTCAAATTAAACCATTTTGTCCAACCCTAGTAATACTAATAAATTAAAAAATTACTCTAAACAGTACTCCCTCTGTATTTAAAAGATCACAACATTAGGTCTTGACACTATATTTAAAGGAGAAATAGTTGGGGTATTAAATTGTGTAGAAACGTAGCAGAGGATGAAAAAGTAAGAAATAGAAGATAAAAAAAGAAAACATAAGGGTAATTGCGTATTTTTTGAAGAAAAACATACCAAATATGAAAAGTGTAGCAAAATTTTAAATACATCCCAAATAAGAAAGTATTGGTCTTTCAAGAGGTATTTTTCTAACCTATACAATTTGATTTCAATTTTAAACTTTTAATGGAGATTTTCTTTCTTGATCCTGATACCATGTCACCCCCAATATAAAAGTACAATTTGTACTTCAAGAACCAAGGGCTATACAGATTAAAAAGTGCTCGCTTAAGTAAGAACATTATTTGAGTGACTAAAAGTCATGTTCTCACTTTAATGCCACATTTGCAACTAGTGCTTTTTATCGGTAAACAAGCTTCTTTCTTGATTATGCATGTACTTAATACCTGATTAGTATGTGTATATATAGGTATATGGATGTTTTGATGGTTAGTACTTAGTACTTGTTATTTTTAGTCAAAATCAAAATTTTCCTCTCAACAAAGAACAAAGAGTACATTTTTCCACTCCTCCTCCCTACACTACAAAAAAATTCGCTTGTACTCACGGACGCTAGTCAACTAAAAGTACAGAGTACGGGTGCCATTTTGACACTTTTTTCTTATTTGTATTTGTAGTAAATAACCACAACTATTTAATGCAAGTCAACTATGTGTTTTAAAAAAATATGGTGCACATTTAATCTTAGTTTTTGTTTTTCATCTCTATAAGACATGTTGATTTTCTTTTTTGTCCCTCACGCATGTCCCTCACGAATCATATCAAACTCTATTATATTTGAAAAAATCATATTTTTCTTACTGTGGTGTCGTTTAACCTTATTTTATAAATGTGAATGAGTAGTTTTATACCGTTTTAGCTCCAATATGTTCTAGGATCCAAAAAATTTAAAATGATGAATATAATTTAAAATTGTTACGGAGTATTACATTTATGCAGTCAACATTACTTTTTATTCTAAATGGATATGGTCTCAAAGTTAGAATGAACTAAAAATATGACATATTAGAGAGATGAAAAATAAAAAATATTTTAGAGGAATCTAGTGTAAACATTATTTGAAACAACAATGCGATGTAATTAGTCGGTTAGGAAGGAAAATGAAAAGCGTATGTAAAGCAAGAATGTGATGAAATGAAACCAATGTATTGGCGTGTCGGATCAAAAGAGTGTTTGAAATATTGTGTCAATGCCTTATATTACTGGGATTAAAAAAAATTATGAATGTTGTGTTTTAGATTCCTCCCAAATAATGTAGATATTTTCAATCATGAGAAAATTAAATATATAAATTCTACCATGCAACACTTATTTTCATATTTAATACAAAAATACCTTTACCTATCAAAATATATTAGAACTAATACACAACACTACAACTAGGTTTCCCATTGGCAAGCCACACACAACACTAAAAATGCAATTTCCCTATATTATTAATCAAGCTACTAGAATATTCTTGGGCACCTTCCTCTCCTGTTATTCTATATCAGTAATCTTTAAGTCAATTCATTTAATTATGAAGACTAGCATAATGATATAAATATAGTGATACAAGAATTAATTCAGTTTTGGTCCTACGAATTCTATGTCAATTCTACATTTAACCCACATTTTTCAATTTGTCCACTTTTGACACTTGACTAATGTTTCTTGGTCATTTGTGCTTCTTTATCGACAATTTTAACCACCATAAACATTGATAGTACGACCATATATGGTTGAAAACACAATAATTATATATTAAAAGTGGTCAAAGTAGAAGACGTGAACTAATTATGGAATTGGTGCGATAGTCATAGGACCTAAAGTGAAATTAATTCTACATACAGTTTAAAATTGAAGTTTCTAATACCAAGACAACAACAAGGAACGGCTATAACGAGCCGAGGAAAAGTGAATGATTGAGAGTAGGATCTCGACGAAATATCTAGTCGTACATGAACGTGAGGGTTAATATGATATCACCGTATAGGTGTGATAATTAGAAATATTTTTTAAGTTTGAATGATAAAAATATAGTGCTCAAAGTTTAGAATTTCAAAATCCGATTCTACTTAGGGTAGTTTTTTTAAAGATATAGTAAATGTAGTTTTTCTTTGAAAATTCAATACATGTTCAATTAGACTAATAATAATACTATACATGTTTTCATGAAAAGTAATTCATACCACACATTAATTAAACATAAAATATATTAATCATATACTTCGTATTACACATTACTAATAAATATTTGTGAACTGTGAATCAAACGACATATAGAGTAATTTATGATTTATTTCTTAACTAAATCAAGTGATGCACAAATGGGCAATGAAGTACTCTCTGTATGTGATTTTATCATTTCGGCGTTTCCAAATATGGAATGTACTTTAATTTTTTATACTACGTATATCCAATAGTTAACCCACTTTCCAATAATATATGGAATAATGTTTGCTTTACTTATCGGTGCATGTTTGAGCCTCGATCACCATGGCTATAAGTAAACAACTCAAATAATAGAAAATATATACTATACAATTTTCTTTGAAGACAAACACTCTTGCAACTTTGCAAGATAAATCGTTTTGATGGCTCCCAAAATGCTATTTGTTCTCTCACTCTTGGTTCTCATGGCCGTCGGGTTTCGTAAGTCAACTACTACTCTGGAACAAATCAACAATTATATCGATTAATTGTTTCGAATAATCGAAATCATATTCTCTTTTGTATTCCATGATAAAACTCCATATATATACTCTGAAGAAGAAAAACTCCCTATATATCTGATTTGCAATTTGAGATTTTTAAGATTGATTATCAATGAAGTGAAATTCGTTTTACAAATTGTTAAAAAAGATTTAATAATTAAAATTACATATTAAGAAACTAGCTTTGGTCTTTAGATGTTCTACAAATTCCCAATATTCAATCAAGATATGATAATAAATATTTCCTCAATAAGAAAAAAAAATCAACTACGTTGATCGATCAATGGTGGAGGCAGAGACCGGAGGGAATGGGCTGGCTTCATCCCCCAAAAATCTGCATGTGTGTGTGTCGGTTTATATATACATTTTGCGACTGGAAACAATGGTCAGTCGCTATTACATTTTGAGACCAAAAATATAATATGGTTGCTAATAATACTATTAAGGACCACTTTTTATTTTTTAAGAGCCATTGCGACCACTAGTCCTTCGCTAAAGTAAAATTGCTTACATGCTAGCTATTTACTAATTGCGACTGCTAAATTGGAATATTTGCAACCATATTCATATAGAAACTTATTTTATATTGCATTTGATTAT